CTCCTTCTCCTCCTCCTCTTCCTCCTACTCCACCTCCTGCTCCTCCTCCCCCCCAGCTGGTTTCATAGGAGCCATCGGTTTTCGACGCCCAGGGCATGGGGAGTACCATTCTCATTCCTCATGCGAACCGCGCCGAAGTCAAACAGAAATCTGAGCATGCGCAAACTGCGCCAAGAAGGGCTCATGGTGCACAAGCGGGCCGCACTGGAACAATCAGAGAAGGGACGTGCGGGCCCCGCCCGACAAGATATATGACAGCGGTAATGATGAGCACAGCGGCAAAAGCGGTTTGAAGGGCGCTATCCCACGCGACCCGTTTGAGCCTGCATCTGACCTGATACTCGTCAGGATACTCAACTAAACTTTCAAAACAAAAACGCGCGATCGAGCCTATGGCTAACGCATCGCGTGGCGCGGCCATCCATGCACGCGTCATAACCGGCACCGAGCTCTTCGAGAGCCTCCCGGGAGATGTAATTCCAAAGAGCACCGTGGTGATCTGGCCAGAACGCGTCAGAGAGGAGATTCAATCTCGCCATCGCCAAGCCGGAAAGCGACCGCACAGAAAGGGCACCTGGCTGTAGATCAAAAGCGATGCACAACGATCTGTTTTTGTCCCACTAAAACAATGCAGCTGGGCACGGTTTGATCACGACCTGTGCTCGACGGGGCGGCTCTCCGCCCACGACCTGAAAAGACCAGGGCCAATGAGATGACTTTGGAAGAGCCTTCCGCACCCACTTGGGCTCACGGCTGGCTCACGGTCGCGCCCTGTGCCCCCGAGCGGCGCTTGAGGGACTCCAGGGCGGTCCGCCCCAGTAGCGATTCCTGTCTTGCTGGCGAAACACGGCAAAGAGATGCGCGTACGGGACGCGCCCGCGATGGGCGCGAGACATGGGCAAGTACGGCCACCGACGACAGCCGTGCCCGAAGGCAGCACGCGAAGGAGTCAGCCGACAACCTCATTCGACGCCTGATCAACGAGCTTGAGACCTTGAAGAGCAAGCTGCACGGAGCAATGTTCTATTCACCCTACGTGGCTGCCGCGGACGGACAATGGCAGCAGCCTCCAATGGGGCCGGCGTGGCAGTGCGAGAAGGATGGGCAGTGGCTGGATCACGCCGTCGAAAATTATTCGTCGCAGCCTCTGACTGCGTGCGCCCCCGCGCGAACGCTGGGCAGACACGACCCGCGCGGCTGACTGGCAGCACTCTGGGATGCCCCAGTGAAGCCCAGCCAGCCGGGCGCAACAACCCCAGGGAGGGCAGGGCGGGAGAAACGAGTGCGCACAGGAAGCGGCGCCCTTGGCACCAGCTGAGCGCACCGCCTCTCCATTAGAGCTAGAGCTCTGTCGCCCGCCAGCGTGACAAAGACGGACGGAAGACAGACGACCACCGACAGACGACCGACAACCGACAGGAGGGAGGACGAGGAGGGGGTACACTCCACCGCTCCTCCGAGGGAGCCCACCAGCCGTGAACGCCCTGTGAGCGGGCCGGGTAGGGGCCAAGAGGGCACGAGGCCAGGAGGGGCACCTGGACATTCCTCCAACTTTTCACACCTTACAAAGCTGCGCCTTAGAGGTGGCGACAACTACAAGGCTTGGCACCACACGTGTGGGACATCCGGAACGGCAATGTGGGGGGAGGCGACGGTCGAGCCCAATGCCATCAGCTTCCGCAGCGGGGCTGTGTCGGGAGACACTAAGGTCGAGCCTGACGCCATCAGGTACAGACTTGAGGGCGGCGTATGTGAGGAGTCCCCGATGGCTGCAGTGGCGGAAGCGAAGCACGAGCCCAATGCCGTCAGCTACAGCGACGAGCGACGGGGCTGTGTGGCGGGACGCGGACGTCGAGCCCGACGCCATCAGCTACAGACCCGAGGACGCCGCATGTGTGAACTCTTGGATACCAGCAGTGGCGGAGGCGACGCACGAGGCCAATACCATCAGCTACAGCGACGGGGCTGCGTCACGAGACGCAAAGGTCGAACCCGACGTCGTCACCTACAGAGCCGAGGGCGGCGTCTCTGTGAAGTCCTGGGTGGCGGCAGTGGCGGAGGCGAAGCACGGGCCCGATGCCATCAGCTACAACGACGGGGCTGGGCGGCGCGATGCGAAGGTCGACCTAGACGTCATCAACTACAGACCCGAGGACGGTGAACTTGTGGAGTCCTGGATGGCGGCAGTGGCAGAGGCGACGCACGAGCCTAACGCCATCAACTACAACGACGGGCCTGGATCGCGAGATGATAAGGTCGGGCCGGACGTGATCAGCTATAGTACAAGTGAGAGAAATGAGTCAGGCGTGAAGGCGTTTCTTCGCGAACATGCCGCTGAGAAACAATACTTTGCACAGCTACGTGTCACGAGGGACAGGACATGTAAGCCCCACAACCTGTCGTGCGACGGAAGGCTCGAATGGATAAAGCAGACTCCGCTCTTCGTCATCCCGCTTCCCTCCCTCCAGAATCTAGGCAACTCTGACTGTGACTCGTCTGGTAAGTCAGGCAGTCTAGGGAGATGGACATACTGGAGCCCTCACCACACAGCACGCAGTCTGGCCAGACTGACGGAGCCGATTGGAGATCTCCTCTCGGCGCTTGGCGCCGCCATTCAGCAATGCCACGAAGTCTGCGTGCTGACGTACTCCCAAGCGTGTCAGATCAGGGCCCTGCCCTTCTGAGCGGAAAGCAGCACAGCGCGAAGCGGTCCAGAGGTTGATCATAAGACTACTTCTTTAAGCGCAATCTCCGCAATATCCTCCTCCTCCTCCTCCTCCTCCTCCTCCTCCTCCTCCTCCTCCTCCTCTTGCTCCTCCTGCCCCGCCTCCTGCTTCTCCTCCTCCTCCTCCTCCTCCTCCTCTCCCTCCCCCTCTCCCTTCCTCCTCTCGACGCTCTGCCTACCCCCCCCTCCCCCTTCCCCTCCCCAACTCCGCCTCGGGCCGTGAAAGCACGACGCGACGGGAGGTGCTCTGCCTTTTTGTTCGGACTCGCGAACCGCGGTAGAGAACCGGCCCCAGGGAACCCGGACATCCACCGATATGATTCCCGACCCCTTCTCCGGGGGTAGTTTTTCGTCCCGGATCCATTTTTGATGCTCCCGGGCCGGAGAAAGGGCCCCGGAGGCCGAAATCCGGGAAACAACGCCGGACATGTAGAACAAAATCATACCCTCGGATCTCTGGGAAGGGGTCGGTACCTCCGGGGGGCCGCGTGCTGACACCATCCGGGCGCCGTACCGTTGGGGTGTAGTTTTGTGGATGTCACGGCACTGTACACCCGAACAGTCCTATCATCGAAGTTAAGATGTGTTTAAAATGTCGGATTAATGTTCTAAACATGGTTTGAGCATGTGTTTGACATGTTAAAAATTATGTAACTCATGTGCTAGACATCTGGAAATGATTTGGCAACATGCTTCCTCTCCATTGACCGTCCTCCACACATGTAGCCGGTGTGAGGCCCTCCGAGGGCGAGGGCGCGCGGCCCGCGGCGAGGGCCGCGGCCGCGCTCTCCAAAGACGGGCCGCCATGCCACGGCACGGCCTCGCGGGCGCTCCGTGCAGCCGAATAAGACATGTAAGAAACCATACCCCCACATGGGCAAACACGATGAAACAATCGTCCCCAGACTATTTTTAAACTATTTTTGGATTTTCCTCCTGTAGAAGGACAGGCCCGACTTAACCTCACTCGCGGGGCCCAGCTCCGCAAAAAGGGTCGGGAAAGGGACGCAGAGGTACGGCAAGCTTGCGCCGCGTCGGCGCGGGGGCGGCCTCGGCGCGGGCGCTCAAGGTGGAGCGCCGCCAGGTGCCCGGAATCGGCCTACAGTCGGAGCGTTGACCTAAGGAACCCTAAATAAGGAACGAGGCCACGTTTTCCCACAAGTTGAAGATCGATTTCCCATCGAAACCCTAAGCAAAACCAAAGGCGAACTACAAAACAACTAAGGAACACCGAGCCCCTCCCCAACGAAAAGGGTTCCTTCCTCAGCACCCCGACTGTACGTCGGACGAGTCCGCGCTGCGAGGAAACATTCGCGCGCACGCGCGCGCAGGTCTTGAGAGCGTTTCGCCCTCCATCGGTGCAGTTCGCGGAGATGTCAAGACCGAGAACTGCAAGTTGTGAGGGGGTCTTGGGCGAAACGCCCAGCCCGTCCGACCGGCACCTTGGGCGGCGAAGCTCGGAGGAGTTATTGATAAGGAGCGGGGGTGGGAGAGAGAGAGAGAGGGAGAGGACTGAGGAGCAACGGCATCAAGCGGAAAGAGGAAGAAGGAGCATGGTGAGGAGGAGGGAGAGGATTGAAAGAGAGGGTGTACAGGAGGAGGAGAAAGAGGAAGAGGGACACATCGGCTCTGGTCCCTCCCTCCTTTCCCCCGCCTGTTCCCCTACCTCAGGGCCCCGTAAACCCGGACACGCTGGACCAGGACTTACAACATCCCTAGAAACAATTTGTTCCAGAATGCAGCACAAGAAAAACTGCACTGCAACACTCCCGGAATAAACCCAGACACAGGCCCTAAAAGCCTGCGCGCCCACCCATAGACCCGGACAAAGACCCGAATCCTGCAGTGAAGCAAAACAAACTGCACTGGACGACCAAGCCTGACTTTGCAGGAAAGGGTGTCGTTCCCCGACTTGCCAATGTCCTGGCTAGCCTGTGTCGTCTCCGGGGGCCCGACTACCTTTCCAGGACCCTCCCCCAGATCCGTTGCAGCCAGCTGCTGCCGCCCTCCCCTTCCCCTGTCGCCCTCCTCGCCCTCCCCACTGAAATCCGCCGATACGACTGTTGCTCAAGCCGGGGCCCTGGAAGCCACGACCCCTTGCCTGGGGAGAATCTTGCGGCTCGGGTCCATTCTCGGCGGTCCCGGGGCCCGACCGAGGGGCCCACGGAGCCGAACTCGAGGAAAACCGCCCGGGTTGAACAATATGGATCGGGGATTTGGGCCCTCTCCTCTCCTCCCCCTCCGCATCCCCTTCGAGAGGGGGGCTCGTCCGCGCCTTCTGCAGCGCGAGGGAGACCTGCGAGGCACCGCCGATGTGGGTCCCGATGTCGTTGGACGCATCGAAATCCCCGAGCTTGACGTGCTCTGCCTGGCCCGTGCCCAGGATGCCCCGCGCAGGCGAGGAGGGAGGACGAGATCCCCTCGAATCGTGACACAACCGCGCCTGCAAACGTCGGCCAAGAACCAAGAGCACGACCGAAGGCAAAACGGCACGGCTGACACCCCTCGAAAGAGTGTTTCAAGGAATCCGGCCATCCTGCGCCTACGCATCCAGATATACAACCCTCTCCATTGAGGCCCACGCGGGTGCTGGTCACCCGCCTAGCCATCCAAGACCGCATGGCTGCAACGCGTCACGACGGCGGCGCCCGCTTGAGCACTTCAGAAATGTGGTCCCAGGAGAAATTGAGAAGACGTTCGGGGGGATGGGGAATCATTTGCACACCCTAATGGTGACGAAAGGGCCCCCAAAAAATGAGAGGGAGGAGGAGCAGGAGGAGGAGGTGAGGGAGGCCTGGAGGCGGGGGAACACTTTTGTCTTCTCTAGCCAGGCGGCTTCAGCAGCGACTGCGCCGTGGAGAAGGGCCACGGACGGCCCGCGCCACTACGCTGGCGCTCCGTGCCGCTCATCCCATGCAGCATCCCACTCCGAGAACACCAAACAGTCCCTGATGCCGTCGAGCAGTCGCGTCGCCCACCGGCGCCAAGAAGAGGAGGTCTTCATCGCCGTGCGTGCCATGGCGGTTCGGGCAATGCACTCCATCAGGAAGACCCTGGGGCCTCCCAGCTTGCCCGTGTTTGCCCACGAAGCTGGAGCCCTGAAAAGCGAAGCAAGGAGGCACCGCTCGCTCTTGTTATCCGCGGCGCTTGGCCAAGATATCAGCTGGGCCGTGTACGGCACCATGTTACAGTCATCGGCCTGATCTAAGGAACGATAATAAGGAACGAAACCCCTTTTTATCCCAAGGAATAACGCATAAGGAACGATAAATAACACATAACGCATAAGGAACTGTAAAAAACGCATGCAAACCTAAGGAACGACCGAGCCCCTTTTGAAAAGCAAGTGTTCCTTATTCAAGCCGCTCACTGTAAGAGCCCGCTCGTGGCAGAAGTTTTGCCCAGGGCCCACGAGTCCAGGGGCGACGTCGCCAGGCGGCGAGCGTCCTGTCGCGCCGAACGGCCACACGCGGCGCCCAGACGTCCGACTCCGTGACGCTCGGGCCCATCAGGCAGCCCAGCGCCTCGGACTTGCCCCTCACTTCGGATGCGCCCCAGTCCAATACAGCGGGGGTTTGGCCACAGGAAACCTTCGCAAGAAACCCAACCCTGAAAGCTGCGATCTGTTCCATGAAAACCCAAAGATGCCGATCGAAATTCATCCAGATCTTACTGGGGACCCATCGAAGTCCAAGAAACCCAGGGCACCCTGGCCAAATCCAACTGATTTCTTGGCACGCGCCCCCACTGTACAGCGGTCTCCAGGGCAAGTTACACAAGAGCGAAGACCTCGTCGAACGGCGGTGCCCACAAATGGCACGCACTGGCACTTCGCCACATTGAAGCGGAGTGCCGCCAGCTTCTCTGAGGCGTGGAAGACGCGGCCCAACACCCTCAACCTGCTGGGCCCCCACACGGTGGCGCCAGCATCGTCAGCGCACCAGTGGTGGAATCCCCTCCCGCGCTCCACGAGGTGCCCGCCCAAGTCCACCAAGAAGAAGCCGATAACCAGGATGAAGACGGATCCCGAGGACGGATCGCCCTGCAACACGCCGCTCCGAATTGTGAACATGAGCCTGCGCCCAGCCGTCGTCGACCGCACCTCCACAGCGGCGTAGTGCATCCGCAGCAGGGCGATCAGTCCCGGCGGAGCTCCCCAGCTCAGGAAGGCGGCGAACAGCTATGCGTGCAACACGGTTGAGGGAATGCCTGGGCGTAGTCGCGCGCCAGCTGCACGGGCAAGACATCCGCCTCAAGCGTCGCCGAATGCGCTGGAGATGTCATCGCCCGACTCGTGTCCTTGGTCGCCTCGAGGCTGAGCAACCGGGCCTCGTTGTCCAGGCACACAATGCTGTCAATCAGCTGCCGGCCTGGCACGAAGTCGCGTTGCGTCTGCTCCGCGTGTTGCTTGGTCACGGCCCGCAGGGTGACGGTGACCGTCGCGGAGATGAGTTTCATGGTGGTGCTCCTGAGGCTGAGCGGCCTCGTCGTCGAAGGCGCACGTACGCAGCCGAACGCCATGTCCTCCTCGAGGTTGCTCTTGGTAGGGAGATGCCCAAGGCATCGTTGGCGCTCCTCCTCAGCGGCCTCCCCAGCGCTTGCTGGCAAAGTACACCTATGCAGCACCCGCGTCAGCGCGGGGTGGCGCCCAGCGCGCGCGCGCCGACCATTTGGCCCCGGAGCAGCGTCCCTGGCCCTGGCCACGGCCGCGCGCACCGCGGAGAGGCGCGGCAGCTGGTGCTCGTCCCAGCTCACCCGCCAGCCCGCGTTCGCCCGCATGCGGCGCTCCTGCAGGCGTTACGAAGGGGGATGGGGGAGGAGGAGGAGGAGGAGGAGAGGGAGGAGGAGGAGGAGGAGGAGGAGGAGGAGGAGGAGGAGGAGGAGGAGGAGGAGGAGGAGGAGGAGCGAACGAAGCGCTGGAGGGTGCGCGCGTCCGCGGGTTAGAGGCGCAGCGGCCCCGCACCGCCTACGAGGCACCGTGGCAACCTCAGGACGCGTCTGGCGGCAGCGACCACTTCCTTGTGGTACTTGGGCTGCTCGATGATGGCGGGCAAGCCCAGCTCGGAGCGCACCCGCACGATGTTGCATGTGCGGAACGCGACCGCAATGCGTGTGATGGTGTGCTTCGGGTGATCGTCGATGTTGCTGCTTTTGTTGAGGCCGAGCCGTGTGAGGACATCACCAGCAGGTTGTCCCCGAGGTTGAGCCAATAGCGCCCACATTCGCGGGCGCGAAATGTAGTGGCTGATGTCGTCCGTGTTCTTGGCCTGCGAGTCTTTGTCGCAGCCGAATAGGCAGTTCTTCTTGTGGGGGTTGACGTGCATGCGGTGCGATGTCGTCCACGCGCCTGACAGGGTCTTGACCACAGGCCAGAAGATTGATGCCGTGGAGTTCGCCAGGTGGGGCCTCAGGTCGCGCCAGCCGTGCTCAACGCTGGCAGGGAGAGCAGCGCGGCCAAGAAGTCCGTCACGGCCGGATGTATCAGCATCCATCATGATGTCATTGGCTGAGTGGATGCGAGGCGTGGATGTAGCCGTAGTTGTAGATTGAGTGCCGCCTTCTTCCTGCGGGAGGTTCGGGTTGGTGGCGCGTTCCCGTTCGATCCAGCGACGACGGGCGCGGTGCTCAGCAGCTTCATCAGCAAATTCTCGATGAGTGTTGGTCGGCATGTGCTCGGAGGAGTAGATCTGCAAGCGGTGGTTGCGAGGGCGTTCAGCTCGACGCCATGCACTGTAGCATATCTCCGTCGCCATGTCACGACGAGCGTTAGCAGACCCGTACTGGTCATCGATGCAGAAGTGCGCATTGAATTGGGTGCGATGTAGTACAGCTGTGACGTGTGGGACGCACCAGTCCATCCAGTCGTTGAAGTTGTCCATGTCGCGGCCGAAAAAAAAACACGCTGGGGATCCATCTTGCTGCCCATGCTTCTGCACGCTCGTTCGGGTACTTCATGGAGTCGTGATTGTCGTTCCCAGCCGGTTGCTCGGTCGTAGCAGGTGCCATCCGATCTCCACTGTCAGCAGGAAGTAGTGGGAGCCAGGCGTGGAGACGGTGATGGATGGTCTTGTGGAAGGAGTCGCGGTGCAGCTGGCGTTGTAGTTCCCGAAGGTATGCTTGTTGTGGAGAGGAACTTGAAGTGGCACTCGAAGTAGCGTCAGTCGGAGCTTTGAACCCTGCCTGTCTCTGATGATGTCCGCCAGTCCTGTCGCGACTGGACGTGTGACGGTCACCCGCCCTGCCACAGCGTGGTGCCTGGTTGGTTCCAGCCCTGTCACGGCTGTGTGAATGCAGATCCTCCGCCTTGTTACGACAAGAGGCCATGATGGCATGTCGTCCAGCTGCAGCAGCTTGCGTATGTGCTCGCTGAAGTATCTGGGCGGCATTCACCGTAGATCCTGTGGACCGCGTGAGAATCTTGAAGATGGACCCTTTGCCTGTCGCGATCAGCTTGTTGTGAAAGATGTCGTCGAATCGCTGCGCGATGGAAGTGGAGCCAATCCAGCATGACGCAGACCATTTGCGAACTGCTACATCTCGTGGCGGGAGAAGTTCTTCAGCATGGGCACGGAGCGCGTGAAGCAGAGGCTGCCAGCCAGAGATGGTGGTCGTGGAGGCGCGCCACATCGTTGCTGCGAGAAGCGCTTCAATACCCTGCGAGATCGTGGCGGACGCCCATGGCGTGAACGACAGGATGTCCATCTCCGAGAAGCTAGAGGGGGCAGCACGGATCAGCTTGTGGAGCCCGTGAATTTCCTTGGACAGGAATGCTGGGGAGGGTGGGTGGAGCTGGCCGACGTACGAGAGGCATGTGACGGCAGCGGAGTTGTACATCTTGATGCACTGCTGTATGGGAGCGTAGGAGTCGCTCAGGATCTGAATGCGCTCCCACCACTTGTTGACAGGACCTTGCCATTGGTGGTCGAGAGAGGCGCCGGGGCCGATGTGCACGCCGAGGTAGCGCGCAAAGCTGTTGATGGAGAAGTCTTGCCACGGCTCGTAGAGCTGGGTCAGGGTGGCACGCATGCTCGCGATGATCTCGGGCGTTGGCAGGGGCCAGGTGGGCACGAGGGCGCATTTCTTCGGTTGGAGGCGGAGTCCAGCGTAATGCTGTGCAGCTTGCAGGTGTGGTAGAAGAGCGCCAAGATCCCGAAGTGCAGCCAGAACGATGCCCAGGTCGTCGGCGCAGGCACTGAGCAGGCCTCTACCCAGTGCAGTAAGCTCCATTTCGAGGCCCTTGATGATGGGGTCGAAGACTAGCGCCCAGAGCGCGCCGCTCAAGGGGCATCCTTGAGCAACCCCAGATTCTGCTAGAAGTAGCGGTCGACGAGTACTTCCTAGGTCGAGGAAGGCAAGTGGCATGTTGTAGCAGCGCTGCAGGAGATTGAGAAAGACGCCGTGGATGCCCCACCGCCTTAGAGTATCCCACAACCACGCGTGCGTGAGGCTCGGAAGCGCTGCGGCAATGTCCATGCTGGCGAAGCAGGGCATCATGTTGGGGGCTTCGCCGTTGATGCTGGCGATACGGGCGATAGTGTCCACCTTGACGATCTTGGAGAGAAATTGACGGCCATTGACAAAACCTTGTTGTTCTTCCTCGGTGTCCGACGCCACGGAGTTGAGGATGCGGTTCGTCGCTGAGGCGATGATCTTGATGTCACTGTTCTTCATGGCGAGGGGGCGTAGACAGTCAGGACTGCGAGAGCACTCGTAGTTGCCCATGGGCTCATCACCCTTGGGAAGCATGGCCATGTGCGCGTAGTTCAGGTCGTGGGGGATCGGGCCACCGTGAGCAATGGAGTGGAGGCGTGCGTGGAGGATCTCGATGCTGCCGTCTGATCGTACCCATGCTCGATAGGGCAGTCCGTCAGGTCCAGGAGCAGAGTCACTGGCAAGTTTAGCAGCAGCTTGGAGTTCATCAATACCAGGTATGGGCAGGTGGCGTAGAGGCATGGGTGGGAAGACCGTGTCAAAATACTGCTGCATCGCTGGGGCGTCAACATGCTTAGCAGCAAACACCTTCGACCAGTGAGATTGAATAGCGTTGTGCATGTCCATGGGGTCGTTGGCGACTGTCGGGCCTCTGCTGTCGGTGATGCGGACGCCTGCGAGAATCAAGCGCTTCGAGAACGGCTTCCAGATCTCGCTGCGCTGTCCAATACGGCGAGCATGACGACGCCATCGCTCACCACGGTCGGGTCGTTGTTCCGCGTAGGCAGCTCGCGAGCGGGCAGCAGCAGCGCGACGTCGTTGTTCAGCGATCTGGAGCTGCATGGCGGAGTGCTCGGTCTCGAAAGCGGTGCGGTCGACTAGCGAGATCTTGTGGTGACTGATGTCGATGTGTTGTGTCCCAGCAATGGTGACCTCTCGAAGTCGCTGGGCAAGAGCGAGGTCTTGGTACCAGACGGCCCTGGCAATACTGCGTAGTGTGAGTGCACGTGCCTCAGCTACGACTTGTGGGTCTTCATTTCGGCTCTCGAACGGCATGATCTCGGAGGCGGAGACGGAGGTGATGGCGTCGCGAGCCTTGCGCGCCGCCATCTTCACTATGTGCTTCCTTGTCCGCCATTTTGAAATGGGGTCGGCTGAGAGGTCGGCCATCTCGACCAGGCGCAAGTAGTGGAACTTGTAGCGCTTGGATTCGAAGAGGAAGGCGGGCATGCCGCGCTCGCTGACTGGACGTGGCTGACGAGGTCGAAGCCGTAGATGTAGAATCTTGTGATCGCTGATGGGCTCCCCTTCTCGGTCGAGCGGTCGACCATCGGTAACAAGAAGTGTCTCGATGTGCGGGATGTTGGACGCGTTGATCGAGGCGAAGCACCTGTCGATGGTCGCTTCCGTCATGTTGGCCACGCATCGGTGTGTGGTGGCCTTCGTTGTGATTTCCATCATCTGTGAGAAGATGTTCTTCCATCTGGGAGGAGGAGGAGGAGGAGGAGGAGGAGGAGGAGGAGGAGGAGGAGGAGGAGGAGCACACCAGCTCGAAAAGAAGAGGGTGGACGGCCAGGAGAACGGAGTGAAAGAGAGCTCGTTCAGGGGCACGCGAGGTCCGCTGCCCCTCGGGGGGGGAGGGCAATCACAATCCCGAGCACGCACTGCCAGCAACGAGAACAGGGCAGCAGAAAGACGAATAATTCAAGACCAGTGCTGAGCAAAGGCAGGGAGCTAACCTGCTCTGCTCATTCTAGGATATGTACACCCAGCGAGGGCTGGCGCCAGATGGACTGTCCAAGCCTGCAGCGGGCCTTGGGCAAGTGGCGTTCCCCTGCCCCGCGCGGTCCTTGAAAGTGTGGCAAGCAGAAGAGACAATGTCGCAAAAGACGGCGAGGAGGCTCCCCCACGACCCCGCCCCAAAACAAAAAGGTAGCGCGGGCTCGGCGGTTTCACGGGCAGCGCGCTGGCCCGCGGCCGCGCGCGCACGCGCGCCCTCGGAACCCAAGGATCGCCGCGTGGCGCTGCGCAGCAACAGCACCCAGCGCAGAGGAGCCCAAAGATCAAACCTCACCTGCTGGCTGGAACGGCCTGGAACATCCCGGGCGACAACAGTCGGTGCCGCACCAGCTGGGCGATTCGCGGCGGGACAGACTTGCGCAGCCGGAACAGCTGCCGCCGCGCCTGCTACTGGGGCCGCCGCCATGTAAGCACCTTACGAGGCAGTCATGCACATGATCGCGGCCTGCAGAGAGGGACGCCAGCGGGGAAGGGGGGGAGGCCGGCGCCGACCCGAAAAATCCGCGGGGACATCCGAACACTTACGCGGACTATTCGGCGGGCTCCTGTCGTGACGACTTGAAGGTTGGTGTTTGACACCGCGCGGATCAGTCAGCCTCGGAACGAGCGCCGCCCTCTGGCAGCGCAGATCGTTCGGTGTCGGCCGATTCCGGTTCACCGGCGGCGATCAACCTTGACCGCCGGCAATTTTTGTTGTTATGAACCTTGACCGCCGGCAGTGACCCGGAATCGGCGTCCTCCTCCTCCTCCTTCCCCCCCTCCTCCTCAATGGCGGCGGTCAACCACGCGCTGGGTTCGACGCCGCGTCACCGCGGCGCGAGGACTCAGCACCAACACCAGGAACGGCGTCCAAAACCAGACTGCTGCAATAACATATGCGACGCCCTGCGTATCTGCCACGCAGTTGCCCCTGCTGTGCTGTTCTCCTCCATTCTCCCCCCTTCCTCGGCGGCCTAGAGGGAGACCGCTGCCGTCGCCGAAGCTGGAGACGTCGAGGAGGGAGGGAGGGGAGGGGGGTGCGGCGCGGGGGCCCTTCCCCTCTTCCTTCCTGCCTTCCGCTGCTGCCGACCCCGCTCGCCCTCTTTCCAAGCAACCCCGCTCGCCTCCCCCCCTTGGCCCCCGACCCCCCGCCCTCTCTCCTCGCCTCGCTCTCGTGGCCGTCCGCCCGCCCCGGGTCCTGCCGCCGCTCGCCTTCCCGCTCTGTCGCGGCTCCCTCTGCTGCCGCTCGCTTCGGCGCTCGAAGCTCCTCTTTGCCTTCCCCCCCCATTGGGCCCCTTCCAAAGCCCCTGTCCCCCAAGAATGGTCACCTCCCAGGGCCGCACCTTCTGCTTCCGGGGAGGCCTGCCTTCCGCCTTCCGCCTTCCGCAGGTCCTCGCTCCCTCGAAGGCGACGCCCTTTCTGCCATCCTCCACGTTTTTCTTGGCGCGTCCGCATCTTTCCTGCAAGGTTGCTCGCCCTGAATCGATTTCTGACGGCCCCTGGGGCCCAGCAAGAGGCCGAACATGGACACCAACCTCGCATCGTGCTTTCTTGATAACGGGAGGACGGGGGGGGGGCCCTTCTTCTGCTGCTCCTGCTGCTGCTCCTCGGGTTCCGTGCCGAGCTGCTCGCGGGCCCCTCGGTGATTCAAAGACGGGGCCCTGAGGTACGAGGTTCTAAGAACCAGATGGGGACCCAAGAGTGGACCTACATTGTTTGGGGCACCTGGTCTTTGGGATCCCATCCCTCAGGACCCCATCCGTGGAACACCGAGCCCCAACACCCCCGTCGGCCCGGCCCGGCAGCGCGTGCTGTACCCGGGGCCGCTGTCGACGCCCTCCGAAGCGAAGGTCCGCCACTCCTCGGGGGGCGCCACAGCCCGCGCCGCTGGCCCGCTTTGACATGTGCACAAGCACGCACACACACATTTAGATAGACTCATGTCTAGAGAGAGGGGGGGAGAAATAGCGAGAGAGGATATGAAAGAGAGAGAGAGAGAGACATAAAGAAACAACACCAATAATAGAGAACGAACAATCGAGAGAGAGAGAGAGAGAGACAGAGAAAAAAGAAAGGGGGGGTGAGGAGGAGGAGGAGGAGGAGGATGACGCACAACGCACAACGCCGGAATGTGAGGATGATGGTGCCTCTCTCTAGCATCATTTCCAAACGTTTGAAGATGTGGAGGAGGAGGATGAGTGGGTGACGAGGAGGGAGCAGGAGAAGGGAGGGTGAAGGAGGGAAGGTGGGGAGGGAGAAAGTGGGAAGGGCATACCTATGCTTACATGTCCAAACGTGCAGAGCAAACGGAAGCAGGAACGGTAAGAACGATGGAAAACTATGAGCACGCTCGACTCGACGAGCTAGAGGCGGCACACGTGCACCAAGAGCTCGGGTGAGATACCAAAGAAGGCGAAACCAGCAACAAGCAACGTCAGAGGCCTGGATATCCCATCCACTCTCCCGCGAGGGGGGGGCGGGGGCCCTTGCCAGCCTCGCCCCGCCAGCCCCGGCCTCCCGCCTGCGCGTCCGTCGTCGCCTGCCTGCTTCCCCCCCTCCTCTCCCCCCTTCCGCTGGACAGCGCAGCCTGCCCAGGAGCTGCGTGGCGGCGCGATTGCCGTTTTGCTGCCGCCCTGTCCACTTGAGCCACCGCGCCTCCTTCAGGTGGCACTCTGGCTGGGCACCTTGCCCCGACGCTCCTCCCAAAGACGGGGCCGAACGGCGGGCGGCGGGCCCCACAGGCCCGCACCGACGGCAGAGCGCCAAGGCGTCAGCAGTGCACAGATGATGACCCCTCGCACTTTCGGGTCCTGCAGGGCCCTGAGCGGCAGAGGACGATCGTGGGAACGGCGTCCCCCGCCAACCTCGCGGCCGCTTGCAGAGGCACCCCAGGGGCCTTGCCCCTCTGAGGAGCCAGCTCCCCCACAAAAACACCCAGGCCGCGGGGCCTGGGCGCGGTAAGGACCTGCAAAGGGCACCTTCGAACGCGAGCCCCCAGAGATCTCATGCTCGCCATCCTGCAGATCCCCCGTCTGCATTCCTGGCGCGAGACAGGCCGACGCTTGAGGGCGACACGCTCGGAAGGGAAGGGGGGGGGGGGGGGTCCAGCGAGGGGGCATAAGGCTCGGCGCACCTCGTTACCTTGGCGAACGGGTTGCGCACGTCCGCCAAATCGAAGTTTCTCTGCTCGGCCTCTGTCCTGAACCTCACACGTGGCAACACCAAGACATGCTCGGGGCCCAAGCTCGGGGGCATGGCCGAGGACGGCGTCTCCACAAGGTCAGACCTCGGGGCCCCCGAGGGCCCAGAGCTGGCGGGGGCCGCGGAAGGGCCCGCGGGAGGGGAAGGGGTCAAAGCTCCAGGGCGGGCAACGACATCGATCGCTCGAAAGCCACCCGGGAGTCCACAGCGCCGCCGCCTCGGCACCATGCAGTTGCCAATCCGCACGGCTTTGGCACCTGGAAGCGACCTCGCAAGAGGCGGTCGCCCATCGCAGTTTCATGTGTGGCCTCGGCCGCGCAAGAGGTGAAAGAAGGCGCGCGGGATCGGCGGCGGCAGGGCGCCGCGGGCCGTCAGAGGCCGAACTGCCCGTTCCTCCCGCCGACGCGATGGCCGCGCCGCCTCGTCCTCGGCAGCCCGATGCGGTCTACCAGGAGCGCGCCGTCGAAGAGCACCTTGGAGGAGTTGCGAATCCACGCGCCCGCCCGATGCGCTCGGACAAGCGCAGCGCAATGCTGCCGAACGACTGGCAAAGGAAGCCCGTGCAATCTTCTGCCCACCTGAGCCGCGCCATCGGCCTGGTCAATGCCCACCTGCTCCCGCGAGACCTCCGTCTGGCTGGTGGGCCTTGGCGCACATGAAGTAGATGGAGGGCGCGCCTCAGTCTTCAGCCCCCGCGCCGCCGCGCTCATCAGTGTAGCGCCAGAACTCGTTCCACGCGCCAGCGTTGTCGCGACGAGGGCACGCGCGCCAGAGGCGCCCTTTCATCAGACCGCGAACGAGGGGCAGGTTGCCAGCGTGGATGAGGAGAGGCGCGATGCCGCCGATCAGGGCCTCCAGCGCTATCTCCGCCCGATGCGAGGTCCGACGAGGTCCTGGAACGGGTCTGCGGACCGATCTACGAAAGCGATCGCCCTCGACAACGGCGGAGCCCCCGCCCGCTCGCCCGGCCCCCCTCCCCGAGAGGAAGCTTTGCCCACGACCCCTCCGAGAACGCCGTGCCCTTGGTGAACAGGTTGGTCGAAGGGTCGTAGTTCCAGGAGCCCGAGCCCCGCCGCGGCGGCAACGCTTGCAATGGCGACCTGGGGCGCGGGCCTGTGGAGAAGAGGGGATCGCCTGGGACAGACTGGAAAGCCGACTGAAGGGTTCTGTCGCCCACTGCTGGCTCACCAGCGACGGCGACGAAGCGTGCCAGGCGTGCGCCGGCAATGTAAAAAGGTCGGCGAGCTCGCACTGATGCAGGCGCTGCCGCGAGAAGCGCGCGCCGATGGCCGCCGCCTTCCTGAGAGCTCGGCGGGCCAGCTGGCCCAGTGCCCAGCGCCTGGTACGCTTGCCCGCATGCAGCACGGCGCACAGCGGCCCCGACCAGGTGCCCATTGGGCCCTTGCGCGACGGCCCAGGAGTCCCAAGCATGACCTCGGGCCTCGCTGCCTACTTCGCCCAGCCCACAGTGTCGTAGTCCTGCGTAGCCGGCCACTTCGCAACAGAGGGGGCCGCATCGCGCAAGCCCAGCACCTCGCCTGGTAACGCTCCTATCGCGAAAGCAAAGGGGCATGCCCAGCACAGGTCCTAAAGGGGCCACGTCAAGGCCCCTGCAGGTCCAACCGCGAGCTCCCAGCTGCAACCGGCGGGTGCAGCTTGAAAAACAGAGCACTCGGGCTGTTCTGCGCGACTTCGCGGGGCACATCACTGGCGCGCAGCATGCAGGCCCGACCATAGACGGGCCCGACCACCGCCGCGCAGACTGGGCGTTGCCCGCACGATCCAGCGGGGTCTCCCACGAGGGATCGAGGCCCACCCTTGCTTCGCGAGAGCTGTCATCATGTGCGCGAGTATCCTCGGCAAGGCTCCAAAGATGCCCGGGCTGGTGGTGGCTGGCCCCGCGGCAGCGCGGGCCACCTCCTTGTCCTTGGCGCCGAAGGCCGCTGACCAGTTGTAATGGCAGGCGCGCCTCTGCGTGGCCTTCGCGCGACGCCGGGGGACGTTGCGGCCCGCGGGCTTGCCTGCGGTCACATGCAAGCTCAGCACCTCGAGCCACGACTGCGCTTCAAAAAAAGCGTTGCTGAAAGTGAGCCGCAATCTGGGCCGCTCGAGCACCGCCTGGAGCCGTCATCTCGGCCTTGGACTTCGCGCCAAGTCCAGCAGGGCGCCGCGCGGCAACTTGGGGGCCCCCAGCGAGAGCTGCTGCAGATCGCGAAGCTGACCGCAGATTTGCAGCGCTAGGTCATCAGCGACGTTGTCGAGGGAGCGGCTGAGCACCGCAGTCTGGCGCACGAAGTCATCCATGGGCGCGGTCGCGGGCAGCGGCGCGAAGGGCACCGCGAACGCGCAGCCAGTCGGGACTCTTCGGTCCACGACGACAGCGTGGGAGGTCGCCCGCGGCCGCGCCAACCTCCTCGGAGCGCGGCGCGTCGCCAAGGCACAGGCTGGCCACGAGTTGGCGCGGGAAGGCATGCCCACGGGCAGCGTTGACTAGGAGCCACAAGCAGATGCGGTCGAAGCACTCCTGGATATCGACGATGGTCGCGACAACGCCAGCAGCGTTAGCCGAGGCCGCTTCAGCCCTGAGGGCCCGCGCGGCGTCGTCCGACGCGGCCATGCCCGCGGCGAGCGCGAAGTAGGGTCGATCGCAGTCCAAGGGCCAGGCCCGCAGCCGACGTCCACGCACCTGCGACCGCGCGCACTAGGTAACCTGGAGGGGCGCTATGGGCCTCGAGCCGCCCGTGGCCTTGGCCGCCAGGGCGGCCTGCACCGCCATGAACTGGGCGGGCCACCACTCCCGATGCTCTGCCAACCACATGACGTAGACCAGAAGCGGCAGAGTACCGTCACTGAGAAGGCACAGCGACAGAGGAGCGAGCTTGTCAGTCCCCCGCCGCGCGTGCCATTTGAAGGTCTCGGCCGTCGCACGCACCTCGGCAATGCGGGGGGCGGGCAGGCTGGCATCGGGGAGACTCCGCAGCGCCTCGCGAACATCACCCACGTCATCGGCAATGTGATCTACGCGGTAGCTATCTCGCCCTGGCGGCCCGAGCGATCTCCCCCGACCTGCGCCGAGGTGGGAGGGGGCGAGACTGGATCAGCCTACCAGATGCACGACCACAAGTCAATTTGGTCACCAACATCGTAAACTATCCCCCAGAGGCCCCCGAGAGCGCTTCGAAGAGATTCCAAGAAGCATCCATGAGGACTCTGACCCACGTCAGCGTCGTCGTCGTCGTCGTCGCCGCCCCCGTCGTTGTCGTCGTTCCCCTTCAGGGTCGGCGGCACTGGCCGTCAGGCCTTCGCAATATAAGAAATCTAGGGGCCCATTCTTCGTCGACCCTGAGCTTCGCAAGGTGCCCCAGAGGGCATCCGTTGGCGGGCCAATTTCTTACTTGGCGTGCCAACTGTACCGCTCCGCCTGAGACTGGAGGCACGAAAGCGTGCGGCCGCGACCTCGAAGACACGCATCCAGCATCCACGCAGAATGCACAAGCCGCACGGAAAGGCATGTTCACGCGGGTCGGAGATAGTAAATGGGGGGGTGGCAAATCAGCTGAGATAGCTGATTTTTCCAACGCCTCCTGGCGCCGGAGGCGCCAATGTATCGAGGAAGGCGCCCGGCGGCGAGGCCGAAACCAGCTGCATCCAGCAGGTTTC